TGTGGATCAGAAGAAAATCTTCCAGAAAAAAAGCAGAAAACAAAGAATTAGCAATTCTATCCTTGATTCTGACCATCAAGTAACTAGTGGTCAACATAGAAGTGACAAGATAGGCAGGGAGGTCAATGAAGGTGTCTCATGTATTCTGTCATCTGATGATCACAAGCACACTGCCTCTGGATGTGTTTAGGATGTCCTCACCCTGTGACGGCACTGTGCTAATAATAGGCTTTCTGAGGTATGGCCAAACTCTGTTTTTATGAGGAAATAAGCTCAGGAAGGTTATGAGTATGCCCAAGGAGACAATTGGCAATCAGTGTAATAAGATGGGATGTAACGTGTCAGGAACCAGCACACAAAATGGACTGAGAATGACACTGAGGAACAGAAAAGGGCCCACGTCGACCAGTGTCCCAGTTGACCAACACTCCAGAAGGCCACGGAGAGCTGAGCATATGGCGACCTGGGGTCTGAAATGCCACAACAGCCCCTGAGAGAAACAAGACAGGGCCAAAATCACTGCCAAGATAATTTTTCAATCTAGAGGCCCAAAATGTGCCCTCTTTTCTAAACCAAACATCAAAACAAATTTTAAAAATCTGTTGCCACCAAGTCAATTCCAACTTGTAGAATCCTATAAGACAGGAGAACTACCTCAGAGGGCTTCCAAGGCTGTAAATGTTTACAAAGGCAGACTGCTACATCCTTCTCTTCCAAGGTGCTAGTGTGTTTGACTACTGATGTTTTTTTGGTTTGCTCTCTGAGCACTTAACCACTGTGCTAGTGGGTCTGTTGACCAAGTAATAAACTCACCCTTCCCTGCCAGTCAGCCCTCAGTTGGGCTTGCTGTGTACCATCAGATCAGAACCGACCCATAGCTGACCCTCTGGTGGGTCTACAGAGTCACTGAGTCACATGGGAGGAGACTGCCCATCCTTCTCCCAATTGGTTTTGTTGTTGTTGACTCCCTTTGAGTTGATCACAACTCACAGTGACCCTGTGAACAAAAGGCCTGAAGATTTTCTATAACTATTGACATTTATCAAAGTTCATAGAGTTTCTAGAGGCCTGTTATTTAGGAATTGGATGTCACTCCTGCTTCCAAACCTGTTTTAAACTAGGAGCTCCACCAAACATCATCCACCATGGGTAACTGTCATGGCATTTGACACCCCAATGGCACAAGGTTCAGCAACCCCAGGTTACCTCAGCACAGCACACTGACAAAAGAGTGCTGCACCACTAAGAAGAATGTTTCTCCAAAATATAACAACCAATTTTAAATACAAAGGCCCTCCTTGAGGTCTTGCTGATTCTAAACAAGAGGCATTAAAAAAAAACAACAAAAAACAAAAAAACAACCTCAAAACACCACACCCCAAGCAAAATAAAATGTTGTTGCTGTCTTTATGAGGCTGTAAATCTTAATAGGAGACCATCCATCTTTCTCCTGCAGAGCTGCTTGTGGGTCCAAATAGCAGGAGGTGCATAGCTTTCTGGTTAGCAGTTCTATACAACATAGACTTCATAAATTTAAAAAAAATATATAGAGAGAGTTGAAATGACAATTTAAAAGGTTAGATAAGAAATTTAGGGGGCTCTATCGGTGAGAAAAAGAATGTTTGCACAACTTGAAATGTATGTTAGTAAAATGGACACAGAAATTACAGAATTAGTTAAAAAAAAATAAACTTTCACAGGATATTGGAGATGACCCTCATAATTACTCAGTTCTTGTGACTGATATTAGAAATGGAAACAGCCCCCCCCTTATGTAGTAGTAAGGAAAGATTAAAAGAGGAAATGTTATGGATTGAATTGCATGGCTCCTTCCCCCCAATACACATAGGACACAATACAGTATTGAAATTATGTAATGACCCACCATGATTAGATAAAGACAAGGATGATGAGAATGGATGTCTTTGAGTTGTAGTGTGGGAGGAGTACCGAGTATGCTATCGAATGCCAAAAGAACAAACACGTCTACTTGAAACAAGCACAACCAGTGTGCTCTTTAGAGGCAAGCACTGTGAAACTTTACCTCTCGTACTGTGGGCATGTCAGGAGGGACCAGTTCTTGGAAAAGGACATCACGCTTGGAAAGGTAGAGGGCCAAAGAAAAGATGGATTGACACAGCGACAGCCACAATGGACCGGAGCCTCTCAGAGACGGTGAGGATGGTGCAGGGTAGAGCAAGCTTGAGATCTGTTGCTCTTAGGGTCACTGTGAGCCATAGTTGACGCTATGGCACCCAACAATAAACCGCTGTACAAGGATCTGGAATGGAATGAAATACCATTTAATTTCACTGCAGCTCCAATAGAAGTAAAGGCAGCTCCCTGAGGGTGTGGCCTCTCCCCTTTTTCTCTCAGGAGAGATATCTCCTGTGGAGTGTACTTTTGGACTCAAGTCTCTGAGGAAGTTGTCTGACATTGGAGAAAGCTAAAACACATGGAGATAGCCAAGAACAAGGGCACTAGAGATAATGAAGGAAACAGACTTTCCTCTGACAGAGAGAGGGCCTTACCCTGGAGTGGGCACCCTGAATTTGGACTTCTGGTGGCCAACTAGAGGGCTCTGGTGCCTTAGTAAGGAGTTGTGCTGCCAACCCAAGGGTAGAGTTAAAATCCATTGGCTCCTCTGTGAGAGAAAGGTGGGCAATAGCCTCCCGTTCGGTTTACAGCCTCTGAAAACCTGGAGGGCCAGTTATGAGTTGGTTCAGAATAGATGACATTAAGGGAATGAGCCTCCTGAAGTGTGAGAGAATATTTGTTAAAGCCAACAAGTTGAGGTCTCTCTATCATAGAAGAGCTACATTACTAAGATATTAAGTTTAGAAGAAATTTATCACGTTACAGAAAAAAACCACCCAAACCCAACATCAAACAAAGCATCGTAAAAGTGCGTTTCAGAGATCATGAGATAATCTTGAATGCATTTGCTTATTAGAACACAGAATGGAAAATGTCCGAAGTGGGGTCTAGTTCAAATTTCAGTTTTTTTGTAACAGGCCTCGGCATACAAATACTAAATTATCCTAAGTCTTCCAAAATCTAAATGGCAATCAAAAGGCACCTTTAAAAGTTGATTATGCCAACAAAGTTCAGGTCACGTTTATGATTTATAAACATTTTGAGCCAGCTTCTTGATAGCAGAGACCTCATGTCGGCGTTGGGTAAGGAAACGTTTGAGCCTGAGGGTCTTCAAATGGGACATGCTATTGCCAGCTCATCCCACAATTGTTTACACCTGGGCCACTTCATAGTTTTAAACACACACACACACACACACACACACACACACACAGCCCTACTCCCTAAAATTAAAGCTAAACAACAGAAATTAAATACTAGCAAGGCATAGTTTAAGAAAAATACCATCTATTTTTTACATATTTTGTAAAATAATTTTGTTTTTTTCTCCCCAGCACTTGATTCTTATCTTTCTTAACTCTTTAAGACTTTCTATGGATAAACTGTTCCTTGGTTTTTTACATTTGTCGTCTTACACCATACTTTTCCTTTTGTAATTGGCTTATGTCACACAGCGTTTGTTCTCATTCCACCCATGCGGTGAGGTATACACAACTGTGCAAATATACCTGCTTTGTTAACCATTCATCTAGAGAGAGGCACTTGGGTTATTTCCAACTCTTTGCTATTATAATGCTGCAATAAATACAGGTGTGGATACATCCATTCGCATCAGAGCTGTTTCTTTCCGATACATACATGATGCCGGGTCCTCGCTTACGAACATGGCCCAGGAATAACTGGACCACAGGAAAGCACTTTCACAGACCTGGAAAGTGGACAACTAGGACCTAATAAACAGGTATGTGTAGCAGAAGAAAGACTAAAGTGTAAATCCGTAAATACCAAGGAGAGAGAAGAAATGGAGATGACAACACGAGGAGAACAAAGTGCTTAGAGTGAGGAAGGTTGAGATTGGCAAAGGGAAAGAGGGTGGAACGCTGGGAGCTGCAGCCCCCCTTCTTGCTGCACAGCATCACTGCCGACCACATCTTCCTGTTTCCTCCCTTATCTTCTAATAAAGATAAGAATGTGTCAAAGGAATCTCCTCCATAGTAATGACCTAATGCCATCATCTCCTAGACCAGCCATCTCCTTAGGGACGGGAAAACTGAGACCCACAGAGGGTACGCATTTAAAACCATCATTTTTAAACACTTTGTTTCTAGGTGCACTGGAAAGTGCTTAAGACATGTACACAGAGAAATCAGAGCTCACTTGATGGGTAGTTCTGCCTCCCTAGTGGAGACCCCCAGTGAGCTCTGTGGAAGAGATTCACAACACTGGTAAAAACCTGGGCCCTGGGTCCAGCCCAAAGCTATGGTGGAATCCATTCCCAAAGCAACCATTATTCTCGTCGATGCTACAGTTGGCCCACATAATTCAAAGTGCCACTCTCTGGAGAGCCTAGGTGCAGGGAGGCAAACTTGTGCCTCTGAGTCAATGCCAACTCAGTGTCCTCATAATACCAACAGCTTTCCAGAGTCGTCTTGGCTGTAATCATGACAGCAGTTTGCCAGGTCCTTCTTGTGTGACACTGCTGGGTAGATTTGAACATCAATTTCCAGGATCGTAGTTGGATGCTCAATGAACCTAACAAGTGGGGCTGATAACCCAAAGGCCAGTAGTTTGAAACTACCAGCTGCTCCATAGGAGAAAATGGGCAATCTTTTCCCATAAAAATTTACTACCTCAGAAACCCAACAGTCAGTCTCTATGAGTCAGAACTCAATCAATAGCCGTGGTTGGGCAAACTGAGTGCAAACCATTTGAGGCATCCAGGGTTTCGTGGGCAGAGGAGAAACAAATAATGAAGATGCAGACTTAAGAGCTTAGAGTTAGGAAAAGAGCAGGATTAACAAGGTCTCTGGCTAGAAGGCAGGTAGTAAAGAGGTACTGAGGTGAACGTGGCACAAGGAGGCAGAAAGGACATGGAAGGATACCAGGCAGTCCCTGGCTCAGCCTCAGCCGTCCAGCTCCTCCCTGACAGTGATGCGCAGGGGGCAGATGCGCAGTGATGCTGGCTCGCCGGCTTGCACGCCTTCCAGGTAGAAGTAGGGCCGCACCAACCCGAAGCGGGCGTGGAAGGTGTAGAGGTGACACTGACGCTCCGCGTCATAGAAGGACAGCTCGCCCTCCTCGCATTCCAGCTCTACTCGCAGGCGGCGTGGTATGTCCAGGATCAAGGGTGGCAAGGAAAAATCCGAGGTCATGCAGAGGTCCATCTCTGGTCCTTCTACGCGGCACACGTACCAGAAACCCGAGTTGATGTCATGGTAACAGCTGTCTATGAGTTCTTGTGGTCTGCCATCTGGGTGCACCCGCACCACACCCACCCGCCAGGCCTGCAGCTCCCCCAGGTCCACCTCCCAGGCATGGGAACCCTGGGAAAACGTAGCAGAGCCCAGCACACATGGCGCCAAGGTAAAGCGTTCCGGGTTCTCCACCTGGACCCGGTAGCCACAGTTGGTGACAGTGGTGAGATCCTCAGAGAGTGAAAGCCAGCCGGCTGCTGTGCTAGGATCGAAGATAAATGGCACTGAGAAAAGAAGGGGAAAGGGAGAGTCAGCAAATCTCATTCCTTCCTTCTGCTCTACCAGGTGATGTCTCCATTCCCCCTAACTGATGGACTAGGACCCACCGGGGCCTGGACCAGTGCCTGGGAGAAAGCAGCTATGGCTGAGGGCCAGGGGCTCCTGATGTGAGCTCACATGACTACTGGGATGTCTTAGGAATGAACATGACACACCTCTGGCCCACTTACATTTCTCCCTGTAAAGTCATGGCATAGACTCTATGGTACAGGTTCACCTTCAGAGAGGTAGGGGATCCTAGCAGTAAAGAGGACTTTGGGGATGTAGGAGGTCTTTAAGTGTGTATATAACAGGAATCTGAACAGTCTCTGAAAGACGTGGAAGAGTCAGAGTGCAAATAGGGGAAGTTCTGTGTGAGCAGTAGTGGCACACTGGGACCCACTGGGAAGGGATGAGCTAAGATGAGGGTGTAAGGAGAAAGGAACACAAAGAAATGAGTTCACTGGCTCTTTGTGCTGCAGGAAGCACCTCCCCTCCAGCCTGCAGCACCTCCCCTGAGCCCTGAGCTTACTCACCACAGTCGAATGTAGTGGCCATCTTTTTCCAGATGCGGTACTGCAGGGAGTCCAGGTACTTGCAGACATTGAGCACCATGCCTGGCTGCATGGGATCTGGCTCCATGGTGCAGAAGAGTCTGGGAAAAGAGAAATGGTTGTGGGCAGGGCTCACCTAGTTCCTGGGCTTAACTGGGATCAACTGCAATTAGGGAACAGGACATTTTCTTGGACTCAGGTCTACATTTCCTGGTTATGTGCCCCAGGACAGACTAGGGAAATAGACTGTTGGGAGATAGAGTAGTGAAGTAGGGAGCAAACTGGGCCGCCATACCCATTAGGAATTCAATCCTGAAGACTTTTCTTTCCCAACCAAAACCAATTTTGGAGTTTCAAGACTGTAGCAGACTCATCTTACTATGGGGTCTGGTGGATCTGAACTGCCAATCTTTTGGTTAGCAGCTCAGCACTTAATCCACTGTCCATCAGGGCTCCTCCTCAGATGAGGTTTTCAGACAGAAATCAGACTCACATCCATTCATGGGATGTCTGAATTGGACGGGACCTTATCTAGTCCAATAATCGCAATTACTGATTGCTTAAACCCCCAGCAAGTTGTCATCTATCTTCGCTTGAACACCTCCAAGCTTTCACTGCTGTAGAAGGACCCTTTAACTTTTAAACAGTTTTGATTAAAACTCTTGTCTGTTCCTTAAATCCAACAACAGTCAACAAAGACGAGCTTGCACTAAGGCGTTTGGAGTGGAAGCTGAGAAATGATGAGTCTAAATGAGAAATGGGAGTTATGTGCAGCGGCATGCTCTCTTCTCTTCCAGTGGATATAACCCCACCACACCCCACACTTAGGAGAAAAATGAGTTACCTATGTATGTTTCCAACATAAAACTGGAGCAGAATGCCTTGAGAGAAAGGGCCCTCTCCAGCTGCCACTTCCCCACTTTTCTCAGGTTATACCCAGCTCACCCCATCAACTGCCTGCCCCTTGGAGTCACAGGACATTGCACCCTGGATCTTCACCTGCTCTTCCCCTCCCCCTTCCACCAGACATGGCAACTTACCGTCGTTTCCGGCTTTTGTGTTTCTGAAAGAGAGAAAAAAAAAACAGAGACAAAGATAAACATACACACAAAAAAAACACTTAAAAGTTCTTAAACCTTAGTTAACAGATTCTAAGACTTAATAATGTTGATTAACACTACTCCCCAAGTTAATCTACAGATTCCATGCAATCCTTATCAAAATTCCTGCCGATATCTTTGTAGAAATTGACAAGAAGATTTCTAAAATACGTATGGATAGTCAAGAAATCCAAGAGCCTGAACAATACTGAGAAAGAACAAAGTTGGCTGGCTTATACTTAACATTTTCAAATCTCATGGCAAAACAATGATCAAGATAGCATGGTATCGACATAAGGACAGGTACGTAGATCAATGGAATGGAAAGTCTCAAAATAAACCATCAACTTTACTGTTGATGGTGATTTTTGACTCAAGTAGAAAGATAACTCAGTAGGGAAAGAAAAGTCTTATCACTAAATGGTGGTGGGATAATTGGATCTCCACACACAGAAGAATGAAGTTGGACCGTACCTTACTACATATAATAATTAACTCAAAACAGATCCAATCTAAATTTAAAACCATAAAACATGTAGTTTACATGATCTTAGGACAGATATGAAACAACAAAATCAATATGAGTATCCAAAGAAAAAGAATAAAATGGAGTAGTCATCTTTATATATTTAAATTTATAAAACAGAAAAAAATTTAAAAATTATAGAACAGAAAAAACCAAAATAATTCATAAACCAGAAATGGAATAGTTCTAAAATATTCTAATAAAATGAAAAAGGAGTGGCAAGAGACAGCACAAAAAGAGAAAGAGGAAAGAGGAGAAAAAGAAAAGACTTGCAAGAGACTCTGTTCCAATTAATATCTTGTAGCTTCTTCATAAAGGCAGAGCACTTTATCTGAAAGGCATTTTAGGCAAGTGTCCAGGAAACTATCAGAAGACAGAATAAGCCATGTTGGTGGTCTATGGCATCCACCCCAGTCCCTGGAACCAAAAATGATGACACCTTACCCTGAGAAAAGAAACATCGTCTTCTTTCATTTCCTTCTGCAGACGCTCAATCTCGCGGGCCAGGCCCTTGGTCTCATTCTCCAGCTCCTTCATCTTCTCCTCTGCAAGATGTTGCTTCTGTCTCACCTCCTCATTCAAGACGTCCAGGATGGTCTGCTCCTCCAGCATCAAAAAATCTCGAACTTTGTCAAACTCCTGTCGGATCTGACCTTCCAGCCAGACAGACTCCACCTGTGGCAGAAAGCAGGAGGATGATGAGGGCCTTCAAGTCACAGAGGTCAGAAGGGATCTCAGCAATCACTCACCATGAAGATTTTGAGCACAGGAACTGTAATTTTGAAAGAAATCAAGTGTAGAACTCAACAGAGTAAAAGTAAACTAGTATCTTATGAGTATACATGGAGTGCTGATGGTGCACAGGGAGTTCAGCTGCCAACACAGGGGCTACGAATCTCTGACAGTGGTTTGAATCTACCTTCCACCCTGCAGGAGAAAGGGCAGTTTGTTGGCTTAGAAAGTTGATGAAGTGTCCCTATGAGTTGAACAAAGTCAAGAGCAGTGAGTTTGGGATTTCTGAGTTTTACGAGCATACATTTATAAGTTTAAAAAGTCAAAATAGGAGATTCACACAGCAAAGTAAGACTGTTCTTAACTTCTGAAAGAACAAATTGGAAAAAAATAAATCAAACTCACATCAAATCACTGCTCATAGGAGGAATGTGGCATCAGGATTGGAGGAAGACTCATCAACAATATCTGCATTATACTGTAGATACAAACTTGACTGCCAAAACTGAGAAAGACCTGAGGTGTTTGCTGCAGAAGGTCAAAGACTATAGCCTTTACCACTGGCAGCACCATGACAGATGGAGAGAAGACTGAGATTGTTAACAATTTCAGCTTGCTTGTCTCCACAATCAACATTCTTGGCACCAGAAGTCAGAAAATTAAAGACAAACTGCATTGGGAAAATGTGCTTTCAGGGATCTCTCCAGAGTGCTAAACAGCAACAATGTCACTCTAGAGACAAAGGTGCGCCTGAGATAAACAATGACTAAGGATGACAGAAAAACAATCGATGCCTTCGAGTTGTAGTGCTGGAGAAGAGTATTAAACATACCATGGACCACCAAGGGAACAGATCTTTTTTTTTGGTCCTAGAGGGTGAAACCAAGCTGCTCTTTGAAGGCAAGGATTCTGAAGCTCTGTCTGACATATTTTAGGTGTGTTGCCATGAGAGACCAGTCCTTGGAGAGGGACATCGTGCAGGGGGAAGTGGGACCAGACAGCACAAGAGATGAAGACCCTGGATGGGACAGATTGACACAGTCAATGGGAGTGGGTGTGTCGGAGATAGTGAGACTGGCTCAGGATACTCGGGGTCACTATGAGCCGCAAGTGACTTGATGGTACGTAACAATAACAACAGCTAACACTTCAAAAATTTTGGTGGCACAGCCTGTAGAGAGTTGCTCTAACCCAAAGCTGCACCCCTCTGGCAATTTATATCTATCAGTGCCATGAAATAAAGATGCCTAATCTGCTCCCACGTGATTCAACCCTTCAAAAATCCTCTGGAGGGTGAGGTTATGACTCAGTTTTGATTCTGACTTGACAGTTTTGAATGAATGACTGACTAGTAAAAGCCTACATAGACTTGAAGTGGCTTTTGGTATAATTATGGCAATTCTGAAGATGGTTCAGAAGGAACTGGAGGAGAGCTACGGAGAAAGTCTAGCGTTTTCGAGAGTACATATGATCTAAGCAACAGGATATTACTAAGAATGGGACCATGACGGATGCTTCTGGTAAGGCTCTAAAAGAAAATAATGAACATAAGGCTGGGTAATGAGGAAGGGTGATACTTCTTATGATGAAGCAAAGAACTTGTCTGAACCCTGTTCAGGTTCTTGGTAGAGGGTAGAAATTTTAAGTGATGAATTTGGCTGACTCAGAAGAATTTAAATAAAAGTCTTAAAGGGGTCATGTGGATTTTCCTTGCTGTTTATAATAAAATGTGAAAGTAATGAGATAGACTTAAACTGGTGAAAAAAAAAACAACACCAAACCCAAAACTTAAATATCTTAAAAATTCTGTTAGGCAAACTCAGGACCAGTGTTCTAGAGTGTTTACCAAGGATGTGGCTAAATAATCTTTCATTAAAGAGAGCCAGCCTGTGGCTGATGGAGCTAACCAATTACCATGTAGAAAACCCATCAGCTTAGACTAAAGAGGACAGAGAAAGAACAAAAGGAGAGAGTATTGTCTGCCTCCTTTGACAGGCAGGAAACAAGCTGTGGTATAGTGGATCTTTTGATCAAAATAGTGTTCCTAGGCCTTTGACTCTCACCATATGGTTGGGCTGTGGTTGCTGTATACTGTTGAGTTGGAACTGACTCACAGCTGACCCTCCGAGGAGTTTTCAGAGGAAGTTTATTCTCATGGGAGGAGACTGTCCATCCTTCTCCCATGGAGCAGCTGGTGTATTTGAACCGCGTGCCTCTGAGACTGCAATGCAGCTTCTGACCACTAGGCCATTCAAATAGGGTTAGTCTATTTCACAAGGGGATTGGCTAGTTTCACCATTCCTCCAGGCTGAAATTGAGCAGGCCCAGTGGCAGAAATTGGGAATTTCACTACCAGCAAGGAAGAAGCAGAGGATGTAGCACATGTCAGACCAGAACCTAAAGGAGAGCACCAAGAGCCACAGTGGAGAACCAGAGACGTGATGTGAGGCAGAGCTCAGAGAGACCTGGGGCTGCTGCTCCCTGGAGCAGAGCTCTTTGGCCAAGCTTGCGGAGAGACCGGGTGGGAAAAGTCAGCACTGGAAGCACAAAAAGAGCTTTGCAGCACTAGCCTAAAGCCACACCGCTAAAGGCTGAAAGGTCTGGACAAATGCATGCTTAAGAAGCTGTCTTGACTGAGAAACTGTGTCCTCCTGCCAACCTGAATTGCAACCTATTAACTTCTCTAATAAGCCTTATTGTCTTGAGTATGGTCTGTAAGGTTTTTTAATAACTGCATGGCTGGGTGGTAAAGAACTGCTCTGTCAGTGGTTAGAAGCCACCAGTTGCTCTGTGGGAGAAGGATGGGCCATAGTATGTAGTTTCAAAACTTGAAGCTGTGATGCTCTAGGTTTCAAAGAGTCAGAGCTTCTAAACTGGGTTCCAGAATGTGCGGCGGCAGTGAAGAGACATCAGGGTAATGAGATAGTCAACTAAGGTAGAGGACGCAGAATCAGGGATGCCCTGCCCAAGATGCCAAAAAAAAAGAGGCCTGCTGGATTGAAGAAGCAAGAAAGATCAGGGACTAGGAGAACAGGGCTGGCTATCATCCCAGTGGGCCTGGGAGGCAGAGGTGAAGCCCAGGAACAAGGAATCTCTACCTAGAGTCTGGAGGGCAGGGTCACTGTGGAGATGCTCTCAAAGAACAGAGGATTATTTCCAGGTCTTGAGAGCTAAGGTGTATTGTTCTGCTCAGCTGGCACTTGCTTGATGCCCACTATCCCTTCTTTCCCTCCAATTTCTCCCATTTATAACAACAATGTCTCCCTTGTGCAGATTTCAGCAATGTACTCTGAAAGCAAATTAACTTACAATGCAGATTTCACAGGTTCACAAAGAGGAGTTTTGCCTCAAGAAGTGACAGACCAGAGCCAGAAACTTTAAAAGAGGACAAAAGGGAGCCAATCAATTAATCTAAGTAATACCTGTTTACTGATCACCTATTATAGAGAAGCTTTGGTGGTGTATTTCGTAGTGAGTTGTGTAGCTAACCCAAAGACAGCTCAAATTTACTAGGAGCTCTGAGGAAAAAAGGTTGAGCAATCTCCTCCCATCTGATTTATAGTCTTGGAAACTCAGAGAATTACTAATGGGTTTTGACTGACTGGCAATCAATTTAAGTTTCTGAGATCATGTGCTCAGAGTTCTTCTAGCCACTGGGAACTATGTGCTCTTTTTTTCATTCTATTGTATACAAAATCTTCAGCATTCAATAAAAATTAAAAAGATAATTAGAAGCAATGAATTGCTGATGAAGAAAACAAAACAGAAAGATATCCTAAGGAGTGAAAGGGAAGGTTACTTGGGCTGGGGTGACTGAGGAAACATCCCAGAGAGGACATCTGAGCTTTTAATGAGACACAAAGCATGGGAGGATATGAAGGGAGGCCTCTAAGGGCTCAATTTGTTTAAAGATGTAGGATGGTCAATGTAATGGTAGAGCCAGGGACAGAATGCTGAAGAGCAGGCAGCAGTCAGATGGTGACACTGCAGGCCACAAGTAAAGGAGTCTGGGTTTTATTCTGATTATGAAAGGAGCTATGGGACAGTATGAAGCAGGGTAGTGGCACATTAATGCATTTTTCTAGAAGATTCCTCAGAGGGGAGTAATGGGGTGTGCACTGCAGAGCACGCCCAGCCAGCCCTGTAGGGGTCCAGGTGAGAGAGCATGATGATACGCAAAGGATGGTAGCCATGGAGATTGAGAATGTGACATGGACAGGCTATATTTTGAATACAGAGGAAGAGGATTGCAGATGGTGTGACTGAGCAGCAAAGGCAGGCAGACTCTGCACCAAGAACAACCTAGTGCACGGAATGACTCAAGCCACACTCTCACCCCTCCTGCGGTTTTCTGAGTGGCCTCGCCCCCCCAGTCAGCCCCC